GAAAATAAATGCATCAGCTATGATTCTAAGTCCAATTTCATTCTGTAGCCTATCCGAAACTCTCCCGAGCCCTCAGGACTCCAAACCAGATATGCACACAACTCCAAAAATATTATACGAACTTACTCGCGCGATCAAATCGCCAAAATAACACCTAGAACTACGAATCGGACACCAAACCAAATGAAATTTTCAAAGAAACTTTAGAATTGCTATTTTAACAACCGAACGTCTGAAGCACGTCAAACTAAATCTGTTTTTCACCAAATTTGACAGTCAAGTCATAAATGTATAAATGGACCTATACCGAGTTCCGAAACCAAAATACGGACCCGGTATCAACAAAGTCAAAACCTCCGAATTCGAGTTAGGGACCTCCGAATTCGATTTCAGGCATACGCCCAAGTCCCGAATCACGATATGTACCCACCGGGACCGCCAAAACACCGATACGGGTCCGTTTGCTCAAAACATTTACCGAAGTCAACTCAAATGGATTTTGAAGGCAAAATTTTATATTTTATCAATTTTTAACATAAAAGCCTTCCGGAAAAATACCCAGACTGCGCTCACAAATCGAGGAAGGCTTAAAGAAACTACTGGAACATAGAATTATGGTTTAAAGCTCTAGATGACCTATCGAGTCATCACACTTACAAGTAAGGCTTAACTCTTTGAATGCACATGAGGTGGCAAGGTTGGCTGTTATTAAATTGGCATGCTAGAGATCGAGCTGGACGATCTAAATAAGAAATGGGTTGCTCATCAAGTGATCTATTAGGGTGATTTGCACAAATAGGATTATTTGGTTCCACCGTTTAAATTTTGATACCTGGTAAGAAAAGTCTTGAAAATAAAATCACCGGTCAGAAGTTTAAAGCACACTTGTCAGAATTTTTTGAGCAAGTCTTATGGTGATTCGCCAGAATTCAAGCGGTTCCATAATTTTGCATGTTATGGTGATCGTCACAAAATGGTGACGGTTGCCATATTTTGTGTAATTGGCCATAAAATTCTTGTCAATCGCTATAATTTTTTGCATTATGGTTGAAAATTCTGGTGATCGACATTTCAAAATTCTGATCAATGTGCTTTAACATTCTAACGCGAGGCTGTACTGATCGGGGCATTTGTTTATAAGGATGAACTAGTTAAGTTGTTCCCGCTTCGTGCTGTCAGACATATATCATTACAAATTTTGTTGATATAGAAAAGCTAAAAGCTTATACAAAAATTTCTGTTTAAAATATAATATAAGACATACATATGCAAAACGTAGATCGAATGTAAAAAAATACATACAAGTGTGTCACATAAAGAAAAGTTAACCTTCATTTTATGGAGAAAAATAACATGTAACGCAACTCTTCTAGCATGCCCTTGATATATATATATTTGTCCCCAAATAGTTTTAATTATTGTAAAGAATATCATTTGTTTAAAATAAATTTGTAATTTAGAGGTAACTATTATTCATAATAAGAGACAATTGGTCTCAAAAGAAATAGGTAACTTTATTCAAAGAGAAGAAAGACAATCTTAAAATGAAACACAAACTGACAATGCGTTCATAAGAATCTCATATACAATAAGAAAAACAAGAAAGTCCAGTAATTGATATCACAATAAAATGTGGAATACTTATGATATAACAATTTCTTATTGGATATAACAATAAGAAAGTCCAGTAATTATAGGACATACTTATGTTTTCCGATAGCTCCAACACACTTTATATAACCAGTATTACTGGTAAAAAAGGGGTTGAACATGGGGTGGTTCTAATTTTATCGGAGGGGTAATAACTTTACATATACAACCACATAGTAACAAATAACTTTTTTTTTGAAGTAACAAAAATGATAAAACTTTATCGTTCTTCATCCTTTAGAAAATCATGTTGTCATTAATTATAGTCCTGACAATTATGAAGTTTTATTTCTTTCTGTACATTAATTAATGTCTAAATTAACGATCGTAGAAATTTTTATATCCACCATGTGTCATTATACTTCTCCATTGAAGCACCATCAATAATTTATCTCTTTTACTTCTCCATTACTAAAAGAAGAAAAGAAAAATTTACTCACTATAATCTCTCTTTACATGTGTGTGTTATGTGATTCATATATAATTGAGGATATGAAGGTAAACCCATAATAAAGGATAATTAAACACAATCCATTAGGTAAAATATTGTCTTTTTTTTTTTTATGGTTTCACACAAATAACTTCTTTAGACACATAAATGTTTTACCATCTCGCTCATTTTAATCATTTTTATAGTTTTAAGTATTATAAAAAAGAAAAGATTTTTAGTATCAAGTTTAGATAGTTTTTATTTTTTCCTCGATTAGAAATTACAAACTTAACTAAATAATTTTATTAGTTTTTTAGCTCTTACTATCTGTATAGGTTTCTAAATTTTTATCATTTCTTTGATTTTTTGAAAACCGAAAGGAGAGAAAATACTTTTTAAAAAAGTTCATTTTTCTTATTTTTATAATAGGTGGTTCACTTGGACTTGTTTTATATTTAAATTTAATATTAACTTCAATAGATTGTCATAAATTCATAATAATATATCTTACATGATTCAAATGGTTATTTGAAACTCACCATCAAGAAACGAGTTAGCACATGAGTTCCATAGAAAAAGATCTTAACAAATAGAAATGTCATTAGATTTTAGAAAAGTGAAGATTTCAATAAACCTGGCCAATTGGGAAATGTAAAATTTACACCCGACCAAATTCACGCATATGAAATACGGCCTTTCTATATCAAAGCTACAACGTCAAGGATCTCTTTGTCCTAGGGACCAAATTTCATGCTGCAAATCTCGTTTTTTTGAACCTGAAAAATAACCAAGTATGTCAGGATATGTTTGTAAAATCTGTGCAACAACGATTGCTATATTAAATTTCCAAAAATACTCACTTCTTAAATTCCTACTACTCGAAAAAGAATTATAGGCCGAGTTCAAGTTATTACCATGGCTTTCACTAACAATTTTGCGAATTATTCTTTTTGAGATCAGATAGAGAGAAATGAAATATGCAGAAAGTAAGATGTATGCAAACAGTGATATTGGTGGAAAGGTCGTAGATCCTTATATTTCCTTTAGAAATCATTTTTCCAGAATGATGAAATTCAATCGCCGTGATCCATTCAAATGGGATAAGTGAGTAAAGGGAAAATAAAAATGCATATGTTTGAACAAAGGAAGAAATACAGAACTTATTAAAAAAGGGAGATGAGGCATCCACTCCATAGAGATGGACAAATGCTTTGAAAAATGATACTCCCTCCGTTTCAATTTAGATGAGGGAGTTTGACTCGGCACGAAGTTTAAGAGAAAAAAAGAAAACTTTCGAAACTTGTGGTCTTAAAAACTTAAGGGGTAAAAGCTTTGTGGGGCCACGACATTTATGTGGTTATAAAAGCTTTTCATTAAGGGTAAAATGAGTAAAATGAAGAATTTAAAGTTGAATTATTTTCAAATTTAGAAATGTGTTATTTATTTTGGAACAGACTAAGAAGGAAAGTACCTCATCTAATTTGAAATTGATGGAGTAAATGAGAGTCCATTACTCAAATGGTCACTCAACTATCCCAAATTATCTCCTAAAGTCACTTCTCTTTCGTTTGTAACAACAAAATTACTCAACTATGCCTATTGCACTCAGAAGGCCACTCAACTAGATTTTTCAAATTTTGGATTGCCAAATACCTATCTTCTACCCTCTAAATTATAAATATTTATCTTTTTTTATAACTTTTTAATATTATGACTTTTTCCTTTTTAATTTACATTATAGACTTACCATAGAATAAATAAATATTATTTATAAATAAAAAAATAAAAAGTATTTAAGCACATATAATGCTGGAATAACAAAATAATGAGCATAGTAAAGAAATTAATTAGAATAATTATTTAGTAATAATTATTTTAGTATTAACAACAAAAATTAAAAAAATTTATTTACACAATTAAGAATGAAAGAAAATAAAGGTTGTAAAATATATATTCCATGCACGTAATATATAAATAATTATTTAAATAAAGGTATTTTTATAATATATATTATATATTCTTAAAAATTATGCTCAATTATATTATTATTTCGTCATTATATGAGTTGAAAACTAATTTTTTATTTTTTATTTTATAAATAAAATATTGTTATTCTATAAGCAAGTCCACAATGTAGATTAAAAAGAGAAAAAATTATTATATTTAAAACGTTAATTTTTTTTTGATAATTTAGAGGGTAAAATAGGTATTCACAATCAAAAATTTAGAAAATCTAGTTGAGTGACATTCTGAGTGCTATAGGCATAGTTAAGTGACTTTGTTATTACAAACGAAAGAAAAGTGACTTTAGCTGATAATTTAGAATAGTTGAGTGACCATTTGAGTAATTGACTCGCCATGTGGTACATCCGTTAACTTGAGGGTATTTTTTATCAATAGTATCACGGTAGGAATTCTTTTGAACCGATAGTATAACGGAGGATAATTTTAAACAATATTCGATAGTAGAGGGGTATATTTAATCATTTGCCGTTTTATTTATTAGAAATTACATAGAGAAGATAACTTTGGCTTTACTCAGTTACGATTTGTAAAACGTTTTATTTGAATTAATCAATTTGAAGGAAGATAATAAGCATTTCTTTCTTTCAATTAAAGTTGTTTTTTCAATAATGTAATTATACTATAAGATAAAATTTACCTACGATAATAGCTAACCCTCCAGATATGATAATCTGAAAAATAGCGCAATAACATAGTTAAATTACAATGAAGTGTAGTAATTTGTAGATAACGTAAATCCTAGGTTTAGTTATATTCTTGTATTGGGAAAGTTGAGTGAAATTACATAAGTTGCCCTGGATATGGTTTAAATTCCCAATATGCCACTTGTAACGGCTACTTACAGACATGTCAGTTGTTTAAAACTCAGTCCGCCTTCGCCGCTTGTCATAGAAAACATCAACAAACGCCAGATTGTTTCTTGCCTTTTCTCTCTCTCATACCATTCACTGTGTAGACGCTCCAATCGTTGTGCGAAAAAACAAAATGGCAGAAGAGAAGCAGCAGCCCGAGATGGAGGTAGACGAAGAATGGGAAGATGATGAAGTGTTTTACGAGAGAATTGAAGCCCCAAAGTTCGTCGACTTCACCACTCCCGACCACTACCGCCCCGACGATCGTTACTGGTTTTGCCTCCGTGTTGGTATGTTAATTTTCCTTCTCTTTTATCCCTTATTTTCTTTGCTAAAACTAAATGTTTGGTTGGTCCTTAATTGAACTCTCTCTCTCTTTCCATTTATGAAGCTTTTCTTATTTTTGCATTTTAAGATTAACTGCTACAATTGAGCTTCATAATTTCTTAGATATCAGTGGCTTGATCTTGATTCTTGTCCAGAGTTTGACTGCGATTTGATAATCTAATCTTGATTCTTTGTCTTATGATGTCTTTAGCCTAGGTCTAGTTTTACCAGCGAAAGTCGGCTGTAAGTAGGAATTTGTGATGCTATAACTAGTCAAAAGGAAAAGGAAGAAGATTTTCAAATAGAAAATCAATTCACAAATAAAAATAGGAATTTGCCACTGAATTATTATTTGTACAAGTTTAGTAAGTTTCTTAACACATATAGAGGGTCGGAACTAAAGATACTGGGTTAGGCTGACCCGTAGCTCTATATATAGTTAAATTTTGCAACAACTGTATGGAACCGTATTTGAGGAAAGGTGGAGCTGCAGTCCGCACCAACTGACAACAAAATTGTTATTTCAACATTAGAAAGCCTGATTTTAGTGGCACTGGGGAGTGAGGGAAGAGGGTGGAGGTTAACTGATTTCTGATTGTTGGATGAGGGATGCTAGTTAATAATTTCTAGAAATTTTTACTAGTCCAAACTCCAAAAGTATGACTTCTGTTCTGTTTTCAGGCTGCGACCAAAAACATGAAGAAGAAATGGATCATGAGAAAATCTACAAGGATTTTGTTCTTCGAGTAAGTTCCTTATATGCAATTTTCCTTCTGAATGTGATGACTAATGACCTTATTGATGTTGTACTTAAGTTCTAAATGTCTTCTTTCTACTCTAGGTAATGGCTGCTAGAAGTCCTAATGTAAGACTTCAGAAAGCACTAAGCAGACGTGCTACAGGGTATAATAGACCAAATAATAGTACTAAAGTTAAATTAATCTCAAAGTTTCCCTATTTGATAGTTGACATAAATTTAATTGTGTGTTTCAGGAAGAACATAAAATGTCCACTCACAGTGCCAGCAAAATCTTCCAAGTCTAGACTCTCAAAGTTAGCTGTTGTTTCAAACATTTCTCATAAATTGATTGAAGACAAAGAGAAGATTAGTCATCCATCAAAGCCCACTTCTACTCCAAAAATCAAAGGAAAGCTAGTTGCTGCTAAGTATCTCACTACTCCAAGGAACAAAAAATGCCTTCCAAATCCGAATTCCTTTCGTAGTGTCCAAAATCCAAAACCTGCAGCCCTTGCTGTTCCAAAGAGTAGGACCATAGCAAAGGCTTTGGTCTTCCACTCCCCCAAGAAAGCCATCAGTTTAAAGAAATCAGTGGAACTACGAACTCCTTTAACTAAATTATGTCAAGGAATCAAGAAGCTAGAGATATCAGATCAAAAGAAGCGTGTATTGGGTTGTTCTGAAAAATCCAAGGATATCAAATGTTATCCTGGAGATTCTTTGAGGAACAGAAACTCTCAGAAGGACGAAAGCAAGACGCCAAAGAGTACTGGAAAGTCTCAAACTCGAGTACTAAGAAAAGCCAGACCTGTACACTTAACTAGCATTCAGAACCAAGCTAAATTAGAAAAGAAGTGCCACTCCAAGAAAATAGCAGAAAATGAATGCAGCAAGCCAGGGGTTGATTTAACATCAAGAGACAGTAATGAAGAGCACGTCACTGCTTCAGAAAACCATGAAGTGAACTTGACATATGAATTGAACTATGATGCTGATCAGAGAGGTTTGGTGGGAAATGATCTTCCAAAAAGTCAACCAACAAGTGGAGAGGATCATTGTGGTGACAATATTGAAAGTGGCACAGAAGGAAATTTGGGGACTGGACTAAATAAGACGGACCACTCTATTTGTTTTCAGACTTCAGAAGGGGTAGGACATCATGGTAGTGAATGCATAGACAGTGATGACAAAGAGAATGTTTCAGTTCCAGATGAGAACAGGTGTGGAACCATATTGCTTATCTTACATGTTTTAATCCAAAATCTCGCAGACTATCTATCTTTTACAATCATTTGAAACATTGGTGCTTATGTGTGTCAAATTTGACTGCAGAAGCCTCACCAACAATATAAGCCAGGCTGGGGAAAATATTCTTGGTGTGCAGAAGATGCAAAAAGTCATCAAGAAGGTATTTTCTCTTTCTTTTTCTCTTATAGCTCTGCAGCCTTCAAGCGAGATAATTTCTATGAATGCACTGGTATTGACCACTGCCGTAATATGATTTGATGTGTATAGAACGCCCAACCAGCGGCCAAGAATCTAAAAGAAGGTTTGCTTTCCACAAATGTTGGTGCCTCAGGGATGAAGTCCAAGAAGCCAAAGCCTACCAATCCTAAACCTTTCAGACTAAGAACTGATGTAGGCATTCTACCCTCTGCTTTACTAGATTTTCATAATAAGTATTCTATTTTAAATGCTTATGACAGAGTAATTGAATTTCAGGAAAGGGGAATTCTTAGGGAAGCTGATCTACAGAGGAAAAAACAGGTAAGTCATATTCAGTTGATCTTTTTATTGCTGCAACTTAGGGAAACCATCTTATTTTCGAATTCTGTCGTAATTAAATCTTCTATTTAGGGCAATGTAGAATATTCTGACAACGAAAACAGATGCACGGAAGATAATCCTGAAGGCAATGATAGAGATTCGAAGGACTTGCGAAGTGATTTATCCGTAAGTGCCATGTATCATAAGGTTTTCTTAATTTTGTTAGTATGTTTCGTTTTTGCCAGTATCAATTGGCTAGAGAGAGGTAGGAATATTTCTGAACCATGTCATATCTTGTAATTTGCAGAAGGATAGTGGGATAAAAAGCCATAAGTCTTCGGACGGGAAAGTGAGATTGAGGAAATCAAGTATAACACCAGAGAGATGTCATGCTACACAAATAAAAACAGCCAACTTAAGAAATGCTAAATCTCCCATGGCATCATGTTTGAGACAAGATCAGAAACTCACTGTAATACAAGAAGCATCAGCTGATATTTCAAAACCAAAGAAGGTAGGGAAGCTTCATGAAAATGGTGCTACAGCCATGTCCCGAGCTAAAGCCTCGACGCCTTCCAGAATGTTATCTCGTGGAAGAAGGCCTCTGACAATCCCAAAGGAGCCAGACTTCCACAGCACCCACCGGCCTAAAAGTTGCACAAAAAACTTAGCAGAACAAGTGCCCTTGTAAAGTTCGAAGCAAATTCAATTAATTCTTGAGTTGTTGTATGTACACTTCAAATGATTCATTTGAGTCGAAATATTTATTTTCCACCTTCTCCAACATTACAGCTCCTATTTCACTGAAAATGTTGAGAAGGTTTGCAACACATATATTCTATCTGTAATTTGAATTCCAAGGCAGTGAATTGTCATCTCAGAATTCCAGAAGTTGTTGGTGAGTCCAGGAAAGAAAGAGAGTCATGTGGATAATCTCCATATATTCCCTAACAAACAAATTTAAGAGGCGTTGCCTTTTTCATTTCACCTTGAGCCGAGGGTTTATCGGAACAGCTTTTCTACCTCTACGAGGTACGGATAAGATGTGCGTACACATACTTTCCCTAGACCCCACTTGTGGTATTACACTGAGTTTTTTTGTTGTTGTACAAATTTCAGAGGCCAAAGGTAAATTTGAGTTGTACCAAATGGACACAACATTCGCTTGTCCGATTCGAGTTGTTGAACCAGAAACTTAATGGCTTGAGATGCTCCTCAGATAAAATAGGGAGTTCAAAATAAAATGAACCAAGAAGGCAAATTATGAAATTAAGCAGCTTCAACTGATTCAAAATATACACCTTTTCAAGTAGTACTAAATAATGAATGATATCGTTAGCACATTTTTGCTCATCATGAAAAATCTTAATAGATATACTAGAAAAACACAACACTAGAACTCTGCAACACTTGGAGTTAATTCATTAACCCTCATATATCATTATTCTTTTCCTGAAAGTAGCAATTGATGTTAATAACACAGTGCCAATCTACGAGGCTCCAATGTACTCCCCGGGTCCATTTTAAGTGATTTTTTGGCATTTTTTTTGTGGTTCAGAATATTTAATTTTTTTCAGATATAAAAAAGGAATTAACTTCTTCTTTCCAAAGTTGCCCTTGGAGTAAAGAGCCTAGGAATAGTTTGTTATATTTCCAATGGAAAAGGGCCTAAACCGCCCTTGTACTCTTCGACCAGGTGCACAACTACCCTCCGCTAAATATTTGGCCCGTCTGTGTCCCTGCCGTTTCCCAATCGTGGTATTATTGCCCCTCTTGGCCAACAGAGCCTTAGTTTAGTCCCCTGCCACCATTAATAACTCTCAATTAATTTTAACCAATTCTTACCGGCCCCCACCTTTTTTTACCAACCCACCCCTCTTTTATTTACTTCACATCGCCTCTTTCCTTTCTTCTATGATTTCGTTAATCTCAACTCAATTTTCCTGACTATCTCATAAACTTCGAAATAAGTTTAGGTTTAGGGTAATTTTTCTGTCATCTTCAACATCTCCACCCGTAAAGAAAATTTCTGAGTGTTCTAGTGTCTCAACTGGGTTGAGGAGAAACTGTTACTGTGGAAATGTTGCTAGCTATTTTGTTGCTTGGACTCTGTTGAATGCTGGGAGACGATTTTCCAAGTGTTCAATGCCGGAGGTAAGTTAAATTATTAACAATTTTCTTTTTAATCAGATTAGTTTACGGTTAAATGGAGATTTCGAGTTAATTCTTTGTGATATTTGGACAGGGGAAAAAATATTCTTATTGGGCATGGGAGGATGACGAGCTTCCTCCTAGAATTGCAGAACTGATCTGCAAGATAAAGAAGGAAAAAGATAGTCTTCGACATGAAAAGAATGTTTTGCAGCGAAGGATGATCGATCTTCAAAATTTTGTGGCCGAAGGAATCGAGAAGGCAAAAGAAAATAATGCTTTGAAGAAGAAAGTTGCAGATCTTGAGAATTTGTTGGCAGTTGACATTGGATTGATTCAAAAGTTGAAGGATAAAGTGTTCAAGCAATGAATTGTCATTAGAATGTCATGGTGTTGCTTTGTTGGTTTAATCTCAAGTTGAATAATGTAATAAAAATGGAGATATTGTGTTGTAATTGTAATGTTTCGAACTTAGGCAAAACTTATGTTGAGAATTTAGTTGTAATCGTTTGAATTACTTGAAGTTGTAATTTTTAGAACTACTTGAAGTTGCAATGTTTTGAACTTATGTTAGGAATTTAATTGTAATGTTTTTAATAACTTGAAGTTATTTTCCTTTGCACGTATAGTGTGATGTTGAAATGAATCTAGTTGCAATGTTTCCTTTGATAAACTTATCTTACATGTCTTTGCACCAACATGAGTGAAAATGCAAGCAATCACTTTATCACATTCAAACAACTTCATATGCTAATAAAAAGTGCAACCATATTCAAACAAGCCTTTACCAAATAAGATCACACCATTCAAAGTTAGATATGATAATTCACCATTACCAAAACATAATTTTTCTTAACGATCAAGTGCTTAACCAATGACAAAAAACAAGATGTAATCAACCACCTGATAGTTAAGAAAAAAGAACTGTCATAAAGTTTAAACATCCACAAAACAACCATTTAACTACTAAATTCACTTAAATAGAAATTTCAGAATTAGCTGGTGCTCTTTTTCCCTTCCTTTCCATCATCTAGTTTTTTTTTCGTCGCCTCTGTTTTCAACTGGTTGGATGTCATAGCTGCCTTCGCTTTCCAAGTGACCTTCTTTGGTGAGTAAGGCAAGTTGGTTCGCATTGATGTACTAGTGTGATCTCCCTTGAACTGAATCCTCCTTGTCCCAGTTGTGCTCTGCCTAATTATTCTGTTTTGTAGCCTTGTTTGTGTCTCCGTAATAATAATTGGCCTCAATGGGGGGAGGGGGGGTTCTTCATTCCCAACCTCAGTACCATAGGCAGCAGATTGTTATATTCTACCTTGGCTGGAAAACACTGATTAGTCGGACTGTTGTGTGGCATCTTGGTGTTCTTCTTCACTTTGAAATGCATCAGACTTTTCTTCCTGGTATTCATCAGAAGTTTGACTGTATGCTGCTCTTTTCCTTACTTATGAACACATTCCAGCATCAGGGTCCTGCCATGCCAAGATTATATGTCAATTACAATAATCTAACTGAAAGCCGATAATAATTATGAAAAGTTTTACCTTGTCATATGCTCTTGCATTGTGGTTAGTTTCACCATATTTGCTACAAGTAATCTGACCTCCCTTCCTTGAAATAGTCCATATTCCCTTTCTTTTTCTTACCTTATCAGGTTCCCTATTTCTTTTAACCTTGGGCCTGCCAACAGATTTGACAAGATCAGGTGGTTCCATGGCTTTTGCAGGAGTAATTTTCCAAAACTTTGAACTCCTCATAGGCTTCATCTTACGTTGATATGTTAGCAAGTAAGCATTCTTACTATACCATCAATTTATTTCTGTTAGAGGATCATCCTTCTTGTACATCAAAGCCCTGATTCTATGAGGGCAAGGATTACTAGACAAGTCCCAAAGCATACAAGTACATCTCTTTTGCTGGAGATTGACTGCGTGTCTATCATCACCTTCTGACACATCATATCCACTATTACCATCAAAACTACCTTACAACCCTGAGCAATTTGCATGTAATCACTATAGAATTTCATGTTTTGTGGATTGTAATCAACAGTCCAACTGCTCAACTTAGCTTCATTAGCAACCAACAATTCCATTACTTTTACCCTAATTTCTTCCAGTATTTTGATGATAGGCTTGCTTCTAGCCTCTGAATGACTCAGTGAAATTATTGTCTACCATCATGTTCTTACACTATGTATCAAGGTAAGCTCTACACCAAGAGGTTGGTGGATAGTGCAACACATCCTCTGCATCATCCTTAGACAAATCTCCCAATTTTGATAATTGATCAACAAATTCTTTCCCATAACTACTCCAGGCATACCACCACATTAGATTTTTTATTTCACCACTTTTCTATTTTTAAACCAATTTTCTTCAATATGTCTCATACAATATCTGTAATGTGCTTCAGGCAGCACAGTCTTCACTGCATCTAGCAACCCCTATGATATCAAAGAACAGAATAACAAAAATTAGAGAAATTCATAAAAAGAGAAGAACAATTGAAATTCAGAATGTTGTAATAAACATTACCCTTCCGCATATCCGAAATAAATGTCACTCAAGTACCATCTTTTAGGTCCAAAGACCTCTGCAACATCTCCATAAACCAGGTCCATGTCCTGCTATTTTCTTTATCAACTACAAGCTATGCTAATAGATAAAATTGGTTCATAGAATCTTGACCAATAGCAACCAACAACTGACCTCTATCTCTCCCTTTCAAGAAAGTCCCATCTAACCCAATAAATGACTTCAAATCATTTTTCCAACCTTGCTTCAAGGCATAAAAACATATGCACATTCTAAGAGATCTTCTTTTTCCTGCCAAAAATGCCTCTTTTGATATGTTTATCAACATCACTACCAGGATTACTTTCTCTAATTTCTTGGGAATATGCTTCAAGCTTCTTGTAATCATCAACAAAGTTGCTCTCTAATTTTTGCAAAGCCAATCTTTTAGCCCTCTTCAACTTTTATTTGGAGACAGTTAACATGTAATCATCCTCTAGTTCCCTTTCATCTCATTCACCTTATATTTTGGGTTGTTTTGGATTTTGTTTTTAAAGTAATGAGCCAATGTAGAAACATCCGCTCTCTTGTTCACAAAAGCATCATCATAGATCCATGACTACTCTCATCTCTGAAGATAAGACAAACAAATGGGCAGCTATCCTGACATGTATACCTGGATATAGTTGTGTCACTTTTAACTACAAAAGCTTTCTTATTAGCAATAAAATTGAAATTGATGATCACTCTTGCTTCATGTATATCCTTAAAGGTCATACCTAAGTATAGATCCATATAATTTTCCAATTTTGTAACTAGATTTTTCCTCCTCTCTTGGTTAAATATTCAAGTTCCTCCGAATTATATTCATCATAGTCAGATGCGGGAAACTGAAACAAATCATC